TGTCTGATTGTTGTAAGATGAAGTGTGTATAGAAAATAGTTTTTTTAGCATAGTTGATGGTACTATGACAGGTGAATTTATAGAGAGATTTATGTTTTAAAATGTATCAGTGGATGCTTTTAATAAACAAAACGTAAAAGAATAATGCCACTAATAATAACTGAACTAAGATGAGATCGATGACGAAAGAGATGACAAGAATCATCTCGTAACACGCACATATCCTATCAATGCATACTTAAATCGGTGCTCGGATTGTGTGAGAATGCTTGCGTGTGGATACTATTGTTACGGTAATGCTGTGTGACTGAGCGATGTGAATAAATAACGATGATACACATCCTTTACATGCATTCATTACATAAATATGTTTATATTCAGACGTACACAGATAACACAACAAAATCATCACATATTCATTGCTCATTTGCTACTAGTGATATGTGATACATATTCAACTTAACATTCACTAATCTTAAGAATAACAATGCTTCTCATGAATACTCAATGCATTAAAAATTGATGGCACATCATTACTCTTACGTGAATTATTTCTCATTCCTTAACTTGTAACGATTCGCAGAAAAAAGTAAAAGTTAGCGCAATCAGCAATTCTCTTAACAAAACGAGCAACTCTCTTGATCAAAACTTTGAATCGAAAAGTTCTTCGATCATTAATTAGCGCACTGCAATGTGTTACAAAAAATTCCTCAAGATATTTCATTCAGCAATCAGCAAAAGCAGTTGACTACATAAAAACCAATAAATATCTTCTGATGGGTATGAGGAATGAGAAATCAAATTTCAAGAGTGAAAATTACTCCAAAACGTTTACAATTAAAGATTACTAAAGCATTCTATTTTGGGTTCCTGGGCCGCAAATATCGCTTTGATAACATAGGATAATTTTCACCGCAAAATGGCTTAGACTGAGGTAATAGTCAGACTCGTAATAAGTTAGCTATGAAACGAGCAAAAAACCTCATCAAGCATTTTGTTTTGTACTCGGCCTTGAATTTCGTTCTCTCATACTGCATTCATATGGAATATTAAGGACAACAGCGAATTACACTGCACTAGTGCTCTGCGACGGAATAATCTTTGTGACATGCAAGCGAGGTACATGAATCGCAGAATTTCTGCCGTAAACAGTCATCAATAATCGCCGGCAGAACACTATTGCGAACAAAAATGAATTTAAAGAAGCGTATTATTTCATGACTTCGAACTGAGGTTTAATGCTCCTTCATCGTTGACGTCTTCGCATGATGACTCGAAAGTGACCAATTTTGAGCTAAGATCACTTAACGCCGGTAACCCTAATCTATCGAGTATCTCTGCGGAATGCTGTTGTCTTGATGAAGATTTCACGGACTGCTGTGACGAACTGTCACTCAGTGGACTCGAATCAAGCACCGCTGAAAAACAATATTACGATCAGTGAAATGGCGCCATAACAATGCATTAGCATCATCACTAAAATCAGTTCAAATCAGCCATAGTGAATGTTTGACAAAATTTACGAGTGATAATGCTCTGAGGTTGGCAAAAATTCAGCGTTCTAAAAATTGTTTAATCAAATTGAGAATGTGAATATGATTTTGGTGTGGATGGCAGATTGTATCAAATTTTCGCATCGCGACAGTTGACTGGATTCGAAAACTTTCCATGAAATGAGATTGTGAGAGCGAGATTAGCAGAAAAACGTACGTTGATCATCGTTGGATTCAGACGGATGATGTGTTTCACGATGCCGACGACGATCCACCTTTCTCTGAAACGTCCTTCCACAAACATCACATGCGAACGGCTTATAACCAGTATGTTTTCTGGTGTGCGTTATCAAGTTCGACGACTGCGAAAACGCTTTACCGCACACCGTACACTTGTGTGGCTTTTCACCTAAAAATTCGTTTACATCTATCAATTCGTCGCTCGATTATCACAGGAAATGCTGCTGCATTTATTGCTTTGCAATTCATCATATATCAGGCTGAACTATTGCGCAAACAAGACGAGAAATTGCATGAGGTCGAGCAAAGTCGGTAGGTAACGTACAAACTGATCGAAAGCATGAGACATGCAAATGAAATTTAGTACGATATTTGATGTGGACAACGAATGTGTATATTAACAGCATATTGCTTGGCTATGGCTAGTGATGATGACGACTGCAATGTAATACTATTGACAAATGACTACTCTCTATCATTCAGATTTATCACGCTCACATGATTGATCACTTGAATAATCACCACCGCGATGACATTCATTCGATTACCTGCATCGTTCACAAACACTTTCTTTGATTAAATAACGTTAATTTATTTGATGATGTTGCGTCGCTAATGTCCATCAACCATCAAAAATACCGCTAATAAATCCAACAATATTCATCCCGTTCAAACACCCATAAACATCAATCTTATTCTAGAGAGACATTTAGATTCATTCGTATGTTTATCAAGTACACGCAAATAATCACCAACAACTGCGATCAAATGTGAACGATAAAAGTCGCTCTAGCATGTCATAAGTCAGAAACGACTATGTGCACATTCATAAACACATTATCTATTTCAGAAATGCATTATTACAGTTGCCAGCAATGAAGAGACATCAGTAGAATTCAGCACGTCTCCAAGATGAAGGCGAATTAATACAGTGAATACAACACTCACCTGTATGGATATAAGTATGCTTTTTCATATCAGATTTCTGATGAAACCTTTTGCCA